TTTTTTTTTTTTTTTTTTTTTTTTTTTTTTTTTTTTTTTTTTTTTTGCGTGCCTGGTCTAGTTTATATATTTAAGGCTTATGTAGCCATATTTTTCCATCAAAAAATCGCAGCTTTCAAAAGAAAATGGAAATTCGAAAAAAATAAAAAAAAAAAAATAGAAAAAAAAAATTGAGAAGTAATTCTACAAGCAGTACTTCTTCTTGGAATAACAACTTTCCTGTCCAAAAATGTTGGTGTACCTTTGGTGAAGAGCTCCCATTGAAGACATTATGGACAAAAATTAATCCCGAAAGAAGATATTGGACATGCCCAAAATACGGGATATTATTTTAGATTTTTTTTTTATCATACAACAACAACAACAAAGCTTTTTAGTCCCAAACAAGTTGGGTTAGGCTAGAGATGAAACCCAAGAGAAACAGTGGTAAGAAACACAAAAAAAGGGCTCAAAACAAAACAAAACAAAACCGAACAACACAAAACAAAACAAAACTCAAAACAAAAACAAAAACAAAAGAAAGAGATTGGAGCAAAAGAGAAAGAAGCAAAAATCACGGTTCCGGCACGTTGATCGCTAGCCTCCAAGCACTCCTATCCACCGCTAAATCCTTAGAGATATTCCAATTTTTAAGGTCTCTCTGAACCGACTCTTCCCAAGTGAGTTTAGGCCGACATCTACCTCTCTTAACATCATCGACCCGCTGTAGAACTCCCATACACACCTTTGCATCAGGAGGCCTCCGTTGGACATATCCGAACCACCTAAACCGATGTTGAACGAATTTCTCCTCAATTGAAGCCACCCCGACCCTATCTCGAATATCCTCCTTCCAGATTCTATCCCTTCTTGTGTGCCCGCAAAATCAACGCAACATACGCATCTCTGCTACACATAGTTGTTGGACATGTTTCCTTTTTGTAGGCCAACATTCAGCACCGTATAGCATCGCCGGGCGAATCGCTGTCCTATAAAACTTACCTTTTAGCTTTTGTGGCACCCTCTTATCACAGAGAACGCTCGAAGCTTGACGCCATTTCAACCAACCGGCTGCAATTGTATGCCTAACATCTTCATCAATGCCGCCATCCTTTTGTAGCATCGATCCTAAATACCAGAAAGTCTCCTTCTTGGCCACCACTTGCTCGTCAAGGCTAACGTCACCATCATCATGAGTAGACATGCTGAAAGCGCACGTTATGTACTCGGTCTTCGTCCTACTAAGTTTGAAGCCTTTCGACTCTAGCGTGTCCTTCCACAGCTCTAACTTCCTATTTACCCCTGCCATACTCTAGTCAACTAGCACCACATCATCAGCAAAGAGCATACACCAAGGGATATCACCTTGTATGTCCCTTGTGGTCTCATCCATCACCAAGACAAATAAATAAGGGCTTAATGCTGACCTCTGGTGTAGTCCTATTTTAATTGGGAAGTCGCTGGTATCGCCCCCACATGTTCGGAAACACGTCATTGCATCCTTGTACATATCCTTGATGAGGGTAATGTACTTAGATGAGACTTTGTGCTTTTTTAAGGCCCACCACATGAAATTCTTCGGTACTCTGTCATAAGCCTTCTCAAGGTCGATAAAGACCATGTGCAAGTCCTTCTTTTGGTCCATATATCTCTCCATCAACTGTCGTATTAGAAAAATCGCCTCCATGGTCGACCTTCCAGGCATAAACCCAAATTGATTTTGGGTCACACTCGTCACTCGTCGTAGGCGATGCTCGATAACCCTCTCCCAGAGCTTCATCGTATGACTCATCAACTTACCCACGGTAGTTACCACAAATTTGAACATCACACTTTTTCTTGAAGATCGGTACTAAAGTACTTCTCCTCCATTTATCAGGCATTTTGTTTAACCAGAAAATGTGGTTAAAAAGCTTAGTTAGCCATACTAACGCTCTAGCACCCAAGCATCTCCACACCTGAATGGGGATACCATCAAGGCCCATTGCTTTACCTCTCTTCATCCTCTTCATAGCATCTCCAATCTCTGCCTCCTGAATTCTCCTCACCAAGCGTCTATTGGTATCCTCAAATGAGTCATCCAACTCTAGGGTAGGACCCCCACTCTCCCAATTAAACAATTTGTCGAAGTACTCTCGCCATCTGTCCTTGATCTCCCCATCTTTCACCAGTGGCCGATCCGACCCATCCTTGATGTATTTGATTTGGTTGATGTCCCTTGTCTTCCTCTCTCGGATCCTAGCTATCCTATAAACGTCCTTCTCCCCCTCCTTCGTGCCTAGGCGCTGATAAAGGTCATCATAGGCCTGACCCTTCGCTACACTCACGACATGCTTTGCAGCCCTCCTTGCTATTTTATAGCTCTCAATGTTGGTTGCACTCTTGTCAAGGTGGAGACGCTTGAAACACTCTTCCTTCTCCTGAATAGCCCTTTGCACCTCGTCATTCCACCACCAAATGTCTTTCGCATCCTGCTTGCCTCCCCTACTCACACCGAGTACTTCTGCAGCCACCTTTCGTACACATGTTGTCATCTTTAGCCACATGTCATCTGCATCTTCTCCTTCTTCCCAAGGCCCCTCGCCTAGCATCCTATCCCTAAACGTCTGTGCCGCTTCCCCTTTAAGCTTCCACCACTTCGTTCTCACAGTCTTGGCACGTTTGTCCTGGTGGACACGTATTCGGAATCAAAAGTCCGCCACTATCAGCTTATGCTGGGGGACAACACACTCCCCAGGAATCACCTTGCAATCTACGGAAGGCGCCTATCATAATCATACAAAATTTATGATTGTATTATTCTCTCTTGCAGACAATTAAATATTGTGGATTTTACAAGTGGTTGGATCCAAAATGTGTGCTCATTCCAAACAAATAATACTCGGACTGCTTTCAAAATTGAACAAGCTTGAGGATGAGCTCAATGACTTCATAATAAGAGAAGAAAAATTGGAAGCTGAATTGAGGAAAGCCAATAGCAAGAATAGGAGTCTGGAAAAACAACTAGCTCCATTGAAAAATGAAAAGAAAAATTGCATTGTAAGAATGATTTATTGATATTTAATTATATTGATGTTATTGAGGGTAATGAAATTGAGTAAATTTGAATTATAAAAAATGATTGGTAAAAAATTATTATTATTATTATTATTATTATTATTATTATTATTATTATTATTATTATTATTATTATTATTATTATTATTATTATTATTATTATTATTATCATCTTCATCATCATCATCATTTTTGTGGAATATCTTGTATCCAATAATTCTCTTAGATTCTCGTTCAATTCAACGCACAATCATCGATGTTTTTCATCGGACCCAACAATCATGAGAGTGAGTAAATGAATATCTACCATGAATATGAATCTACATTGTGTCATGTTACACCAGTCGTTTGCATGGCACTCCTGGAAATCATATTTTGGATAATTTCTTGGAATGACTTCGAAAAATCAAGCTTATTTCTTTGTACTCTTTCAACATTCAGCTACTACAACAAAAAATTAATTAGATTAAAAAATTTGATACATTGTCTCGAATTAATGTTTGAACGAAACATTCAATCACATAGAATCGATAGATAAATTGGGGTAACTAAAAATTCACTGGTAGTAAAATAAAAGTAAGCTTTCACTCATCTTTTAAATGTTGCATCTAGTGTATTTGAGCTGGTGATTTCCTAACAAATGGCCAATATAATGTACCCAAAACGAAATTTTGCCCACTTTCACTTTATCTCTCCATCCTTATTTCTTAAGCCTTTTCATATCTCTTAAATAAAGTCAAGATCGAGGGGTCTCTTGTTGGTCTTAG